GAGGGTCAAAGATGGCCCTGGGTGCCGGGCCTGAGCAGCTGACGGGCTGGAAACACCAGGTTACCAGGGTGGGAAAGGGGGTGGGGGGAGCAGAGCGTGTTTGTGGACATAGGTCAAGAGCCCCTTCAGGATGGTAAACTCTGGGTGGCATGGAGAAGCCAGAGCCATGGTCAGGCTCAAGCCCAGCGCCGTGTCTACAAACTGACACTAACCATAACCAGCCATAAAGCGAACCCTGGCTCGCGGCAGTCAGCCCCTGGTTTGTGAGAACTGAGCTCTGGAGGATTCCCAGGTAAAACCACTGAAGCCAGCTTATTATAAAACCAATTTCCGTAAAAATGAGACAGGTTAGGTGTTTCATACGGTATCGCTTTGTTTTTTTTTTCCTCAACAGAGGGCAGTTACATTCGTTTTCTCTTCAAATGGATTCCCGCCAGTCCACACTTGTCCTCTCCCTTCCGTGGGAAATAGCCCGGAACGAAGCACAGGACTGGGGAGGAGAAAGGGTGGCTGTCTGTGTGTGCACACGCACGGGAGGACTGCACGTGTCTTCACTCAGTGCCAAATGCACGGCCCCACGTGCCGTGTAATTGAAGGATCACCTGCAGAGCAGGAAGAGCTGGCGGACCCTTAAGGATTTTTTATACACTAAAAAGAGGCATCGCCTATAGGTCCAGGCTTTGAGAGAGTCGTTCCAGACGAGCAGAGAACGTTAATGCGCCAGGAAGAGTATGAATCACGCCTCCACTACGGAACAGCGCACGGAGGGACCCGCCAGCAGGACACGGGGGCCATGTCCCCTCTTCAACCTCTACAGCTTTAACCGGAAAACCTAATGCTTCTGACAAAACTGCCTGATTCAAATGTTCTCACCTGTTAAAAAAGATCGTAAAAAAAGGGGCACCGCGCTCATTCATCTGCGAAGCACGCGTGCGATTGCTGGGGAGCTGCTCTGCCCCGCCAGCAAAGGCTGGTTCCTGGAGGCACAGCCAGCCATCTGCGGTCACAGGGAGGGCTGGGGGTCCTTCAGCCCCACAAGGGTTCTGTACCCGCCCCGTGTTCTTTTCTGAGGTGCATGTCCTAGAGCCCAGGGAACTGGTGGCCTCGAGGGTTTAAAGGCAAGGCTGGGTTGCACCTTTGTAGAAGTCATCCGGTAACACACCTCCCTGGGCTGACAAGAGTCAGTACGCTTCCAAGGGCTTTGGAAAGGGGACCAAGTGGCTCCCCATGACCAGTCCTCACTGAGGCAGAGGAGGGATGCAGAGAGTGGCACAGGGTGCAGGGGTTAGAACCCACTGTAATAAATGATATAAACCGAGCCACTTGCAAATGGAGCCAGAGCTGCCACGCCAGAGACACTGCTTTGTACCTCTTGTGTCTCAACCCTTTGGAATGCTAAAATAGGGCAAAATAACCTTTGGCCGGGGCCTAAGCCCCTGTCCCAAAGAACTGTCTGCAAAGATAACAAGAAAGCAGATACGACTACCGGGCTGAGGTGACCGAAAATGTAAAACACTGTTCAGAGTTAACGTCACTGTTTTCTGCATCAACAGCCATGTCTTCCTTATACTGATGTGATTGTTCCCTTTCACGTAAATACCCCTTGCTTTCGACTCCTAATTAGAGCGATTTGGGCTTCTGCCTGAATCAGTGCTTCCCAAATACCTATTCTTTGATCCCAAATAAATGCTTGTTGCCTCTCACTTTGAAAAGACTTTTATTTTTAGGTTAACAACAGGAAGAATGTGGCCATTACTAGGGAGTTAGCCAGTTACAGAAATGGCCAGCTGTTGTCCTTTCCACGAGGGTGATGAGAAGGGGGACAGGGTCTAAGGCTGGGGTTCATTCATGCACCCGCACTAGGGTCCTAGACCAGGTCCTACCCAACGCTGCCCGGCAGTGCCCCCCAGGAATCCACCTGCCTGCAAGTGGGGTGCAGCTAAACTCACCCCCCCGGCGGGATGCTCAGCCCACGGCAGAGGGTGATGAGCCTCTCTGGCAAAGCAGGAGATGCTGAACCATGCAGGGTTCGCAGTACGACCTCCAAGGGAAGGCGGCTTTGGTGGCCCCCAGGCCAGGCCCACTCCAGCACTGCCTACTGCGCTCAGAAAGTATTGGCCAAAGAGCCCAACAGGGAGTCACTTCCCCGCCTCCAGACACAGGCCAGGGGCTATAAGACAGGTGCCCCTCACAAACATGGCCTCCGCCCCTCTTAAACCTGGCGGCTGCCTCGGCAGCGACGGAAGTGCCCCTCACAAACATGGCCCCGCCCCTCCCGCTACGTCCAGCGCCAGCCTTGTTGGGTCACGTGCCGCGGGGGTGGAATTCCGGGCTGTGATTGGCCAGTCTTCTGGTGACGTCAGACGCCACAGCGCGGGCCGAGGGCCGCTGGGTCGCCGCGCCGCTGGGAAGCGTTCGCCTTAGCGCGGGGCTGGGGCGGCGTTGCTGGGGCGGCAGCGCGCCTCTCACACCCATGAGGAGCCAGGAGGTGAGCGGGCCGGGGCCGGGCGGGCGCCGTGCGGGGCGAGGCGGCCGGCGGCACCGAGGCGGGCCCACGGGACGTCTTGTCCCCGGCCACGGCCCCGGGGAGGCTGGTCTGGACCCCGGCGTCCCCGGCGCCGCCGGCCAGGGGTTCTCGCCTTCCTGTTGGGGTCACTCAGCATGTGACCCCAGCTCGGTCCCAGTTACCTCACGTGCAGAGGTGGGTGATGTGGGGCCCACCCCTCAGCGTGGTGGAGGTTGAGGGGCCCCGGCCCCGGGCACGGCCTGAGCGGTGAGGCCGTGGACCACGGAGGGGGCTGCGACGCAGATGGCCCCTGACGCGACAGGGGGCGCGGGGCCTCCTGAGTCGGGGGAGGCGCGCCAAAGGCGTGAATCCCGACCCTTTTGGCGCTCGTGACTAGAACATAACAGTGTCCCCTCCGGCCAGCGTGCGCGCGGGGCTTTTCCAGGCCGACGTCCCTGCCGTGCGGTTAAATTGTCCGGTTCGCCGTTAACGTCATGGATACCGGCGGGTGCACCCACGACATTTTCCCTTTGTTTCCTTCGACCTGTCTCTGATTTGTCCTGTCCCTCTGATAAGTGGATTAAAGCGGCTGTTTTCTAGCTTCGCATTCTCGGATCTTTTTCACTATTTAGAAAAAGCCTTTTCCAGCGGCCGCGGCAGGTCGGACATACCCGTGCTCACTCAGCTTCGGAGCCGAACCAGCTTAATTGCAGAGCTGCGGGCACCTGCTCCTGCAGAGCTCTTGCTTGTCCCCCGCATCTCTTGGTACAGACCCACTAAGGCACCGTCTCCGCTTTTCGGCTTGCTTGTCTCATTCTGTCTTCAAGTTCGCTCATTCACATTCTGCCAGTTCATGTCTGCTCGTGGGCCCCTCAGATGTCTTTCTAGGTTACGCCTTCAGCTGCAGAATTTCCATTTGGTTTTTACATTTCATCTTTTCATTGACATTCTCTTCTTGGTGCAATATTATAAAGTTTTTTTTACTTCTTTAACTATGATTTGTTTTTTGAAAATGTCTGTAATAGCTACTTTGAAGCCTTTTTCTGGAGAATCCAACCTCTGGCCTCTCTCCCAAGCGGTGCTCTTGTCTGCTTTGAGTCCGGTGTGTGGGTCTGCTTCATGTTTTCTTGCATGCTTCATAATTTTTTGTTGAAAACTGGACATTTTAGATAACATAGCAACTTTGGGTCCTGGTCCCCACCCCCACCCCAGTAAGCTTTTTATTTGATGAGTGACTGGGCAGATCATTGTGTCAACGCTGCCAGTGCGCCTCCAGGGCAGCCTCGGGTGTGCCCTCTGTCACCCTGGCCACCAGTGCCTCCGTCTCTGACCACACCCAGCTGTTCAACTTCATTAATTGCCGGCTGATTGCTCAGTTGTTTTCTGCTGTGACCTGGGCGCAAGTTGCTCTACAGACGGATCCAGTCACGTCCTGGCTTCTTTTAAGAAAGCTTCTAAGGTCTGTGTCTGGTACTCGTCGTTACCCCAGGAGGGCTCCTCCAGCCTGTTACTCCCTGGCCCTCCCTCCCGCAGACTGGCTCGCCCCGTTCATCTGGATTCTCCTCATAGCCTCCCCGGTTCTTCAGAGCCCCCTAAGCATGAACTTCTCCAAACTCTGCTACAGACGAAGTCAGCTCTCTGTTTAGATGCCCACCTCTCCCCCAGGCAGAATCTCTGAGCCAGAGCTCTGTGTAGTTAGGGACGGTGATAGGCTTCTCTGTGACACCCCTGCTGTAGAAGCTGAGTGCTCAGGGGAGGGGGGACAGTGACAGCAACCTGAGATCCGATGGGCGCGGAGGGGACTACCACCTCACAAGCAGGGGCAAGAGTGATGGGCACTAGTCCGCCCTGTGCCCACGGCGGAGCCTCCGCTGGTCTGGACAGGAGGGAGCCCCGCTTCTCAGCCGCACTCACTCGGGGCTCAGCCTCACGTCGGGTGGGACAAGGAGAGAATGAGAAGGCTGCCCTCCTGCTCCCCTGGGAAGGAAGCTCCAGGCTGGCCGCAGGGGGACGGCCCCCTGTGTTCTCTGCTGTGGCCGCTTGGAGTTCAGATACCACACACTCGTGCCTTGGTTCCCAAATTTGTATGGATCCTCTCAAATAGCTGTTTCTTAATCCGCTCTTTGCGCACAGGACCATTTCCAAAGGCTTTAAGTAGCTGATTCTCAACGCCCTTCACCTTCACCTTGACCGGGGTGAGGGCGGCAGGCTGCTTGTGCCATCCCGTCGGGAGGCTGTCCTCTCCCTCCCTGTTTGGGAAACCACACATGTGCTTTCGCCGTCCACCTTAAGCGGTCTGCTTGCCGGGAGGAAGACCTGAAGGGTGGACAGGTCCCCATGTCCGGCCTGTTTGCCTAGCTGCAGCCAGGTGGCGCAGCTGAGCAGCAGCTCTCCGAGCTAGAAGACACATAACAGGTAACAGGTTCCTGGCATTCGGAGCCAGCACCTCAGGTCACCATGCCCAGGATTAAACTGCAGCCACAAGGCCACCTGCCCAGCTCGTACATGTCTAAGGCGGACCACACGTGGCCTTCAAGGTGCCTGCGACAGCCACAGCCCCTGGCCTCAGCCCGCAGCCTCGAGTCTACCTCTGCAGAGGGCCCGGAGAGCTGGGTGTGAGCCGGCTTTCACTCCCAAGTTCTTGGAACCAGGGATCCTGGAGAAGGGCCTGTACGGCCTAGGACCCCAGAGCTGGGCGACAGGCTCTCTGTCCAGCCCCACTGAGTGGCGGGCAGTGTCACGTGACGACTCTGGGAGCTCACGCTTGGGGGAATCGTGGGTGATGAAGCAACTTCAGAGGGTCTTTGAAGGCAGACAGCACTTACGTGACCTCAAACAGGTTCCTCACCCAAGTCCTCACTGAAGTGGGGACGCTGCCCCTTTTAAAGCTGTTTGAGCTTCGAGTACAGGCCCTGGTCACCGACACCCCGTGACAGCAGCCGCCGCCGTCAGCACCAGTCCTCCCCCAGAGAGCCAAGCACAGTCCATGTACAAAAACGTTTGGGGCAGGACCCGTGACAGGGCAGCGCGGCCTGCTTTCTCAGACCGAAAATGCCCGCTTCCAGAGACGGGCGTGACTGCGCTTCTGGGAGACTGGGCAGTAGGGCTTTGTCCCTGTGAGAGATACCACGTGGCCTCCGTGGGCCCCCTCCTTCCGTGTGGCTGCCAGGACTGTCAGCAGACCCCCTGCTCTTGCCACCGTGCAAGCCCAGACCCAGCGCCCGGCAGCAGGACCTTCCCGGCCCGGAGCGCCTGGTCCGAGCTGCGTGTCAGTCCGTGGGCCGCAGGGCACAGGGATGGGGTGCCATCGTCATGATTTCTAAACCAGCTCCTCTCCTTTTTGATGTCCTTTCGCTCCTGACCATGCGGCCCTTCATCTGTCCCCTTCCGGGTTCCCAGTTCCAGAGCCTTCTCAATGACAGCCTTCAAGCTTGTCACTTACGATATCTGCCCTTTATTACACTGCTCCCTGTTGTTGTTTCTTAAGTGTATGTAGTATCCATTCCGGCCAGAAAAAGGGATCAGTGGGAAACCTGAAATCCAGGTACGGTCAGGGTGCCGAACCAGAGCTCAGACACGTGGTGGTCTGACGTTAGGGAAACTGCTAGTACGTACAGGAACACCCTGTGCTAAAGACCTGAGTTATTCCCAAATAAAATCAAGTCTTATCGTTCTAATGAATGCCTTTCTCATCGTTCAAAGCCTTTCCTTTGTATTCAGAGTGAAACGCAGGTGGCCAGTTTGTTCATGTTAAGATGCCTCAGACAATGGTTAGCTGCTGTGAGCTGATAGCATTGAGACCTGCCAGCCAGTGTCTGTGGGCCTTGGGAGGGCGGCTGCCTGTCTTCCGCGTTTCCTCCTTTCTGGAACGTGACACCACGTAGAGGTTGGAGAACCTTCTGAGGAAGGAGACGCGTTGCATATTCTAAACCCGTGGGGAGTTGACTTCACATCTGCTAACCTACGAGTGGAGGTTCCTAGAGCGTGGAAGATGGGGAGGCCGTTACCCCAAGCTTCCAAGGCAGTGGGGAGAGGGGGCCCTGCGTGTGACTCGGCTTCGTGGGGATCCTCACGTGTAGGCCACGGACGTCCTCGCGCGGTGACGGCATCGCGGGGTCCGTCTGCAGTGGGGACCCCGCCGGCCACAGCTCCTCAGGGGAATGGCAGCTGACGTTTGTCTCTGGTCCAGCTCACAGGCGGAGTGCGGGCTTCGGCGCGCCTGCGAGCCCAGCCGTGTTCGGCCAGCTCGGCCTCTGCTCGGGACGTCGGTGTCACCACCGCTGCCAGGACGGCCTGTCAGGTGAGCCTCACCGCCAGGCCACCACCGGGGCCCTGATGCGGGTGATCGTTTCATTCGGGACCTTCTCTCCAGTGTGCTAGGCTAGAAGCCGGGGTTGCGCAGGTAGCAGAGGGCAAGGTGACGGCTCTGTCGGCCATCAGGGCAGCGTCCACCTTCCAGTCCAGGGGCTGCCGTGGGAGAGTCAACCAGCTGACGGGCACATGTGTCAGGCCCAGGCTCAGCCGCCTTTGCGGGTCGTTCCGCCGGGTGCAGCCTTCTGCGGGATGGCACGGCACCGTCCCGCCCACCGGAGGGGCCATAGGAGAAGGGCGGAGTGGGCTGGGGACAGGAGCCCCGTGTCACCGGTCAGAGTGACGCCGTCCTCGTCCCCACAGCTCGGGTCCCCTCGGGACTGGATTCACACCCGCAGCTGGCATTTTTCTCAGTGCAGCTGTGAGAACGCCAAGGTCAGTTTCACGGGCACGTATCGGGCACCGGCTCTGCCCACCCGCGGCTCCCTCTCTGGCCGGGCCGCGGACACGGGCGTGGGCTCCTTGTTAGTTTGTAAGCTGTCAGACCAGGCTTCCGAGCGTGCCTCCCGACACCCCTACTGTGAACGGCAGGCGTGGGAGCCGGGCTGGGGCCAGGTCCAGACCCTTCCCCAGCTGGCCCTTTGGTGGCAGCAGAGAAGCAAGTGGCCCGAGCACACTGCGTGCTTCCGTGTCTGCCGAGGTCCGCCTGGGGCCGCCGCCGGCCTCTGGGTCGACACCGTCTGGCTTGCCATCGGTCTCTTACCCCTAGATGTGTCTGCTCTTCCCTGATGTCCTCCTTTTTCGACAGACTTCCTCGTCACACAAAGGCCCCGACAGGCGAACTTCCAAGAAGTTCAAGTATGACAAAGGTCAGCTCGTGAAGTCGGAGTTACAGAAACTGGTCCCTAAGAGTGATCGTGTCGCTTCGCCCGCGGTGCCGCCGGAGACCCCGTGTAAGGATGAGCCTCTGGCCTTGGCCGAGGACGGCCCGCCGCGGCCGGGAAAGGAAGCGGGCGTTCCTGCAGCACAGGACCTGGCAGGCCCTGCCCTCAGTCACCCCAGAGCAGTGAGTGACGGTCGCTCCGCGGAGACGGAGGAGGACCTGGCCCCGCCAAAACCCAGCGCCCTTCCGGGGACAGAGGCCAAGGGCGGCGTGGCCGTGCGGGGCGGGTGCACGCACACCCTTCTCATGGACAGCAGCGTCTTCCTGGATGACGACAGCAACCAGCCCATGCCGGTGAGCCGGTTCTTCGGCAATGTCGAGCTCATGCAGGTAAGGCTCCTGGGGCCTCCCTCCCTGGGCACCTGTGCGGGCTGCACTCCGTCGCTGCATGCGGGGACTGCGCCCCACGGAACCAAGTGTCCCAACGGCCGGACGCGGCAGAGAAAGCACAGCATCGCCCCCTTACGGCACCTGCGCGCTCCAAGCTGAGTCTCTGCCATTTCCCTGGGTTGGGGGCCCCAGCGGGGGTGCCGGCCTCCTGCAGGGTGCTGACGGCATGTCTGGTGTGCGAGCAGCCACCCCGCTCGCGGGCTTCAGCCCCTGTCTCCCCCGCCATGCGGGCCTGCCCTCGCCCTCATCGGGAGAGCGCTACCGTCTGGGGGTCCGCACTGCACCCCACATGGGAGGTGGAGCTATGGAGGCACGTGCCAGCACCCTGGGCCCACGTGACAAGCCCGTTCTCTCCCCCAAGGACCTCCCCCCGGCGTCCTCGTCCTGCCCATCGGTGAGCAGACGGGAGTTCAGGAAGATGCACTTTCGCGCCAAGGAGGAGGAGGAGGAGGACGCGGAGACGTAGAGTGAACGCGGCCACGGCCTCTCTGTTTCGTGCAGTTCACGATGTGGCGGTTTAGCAAACCTGGTTGATAAAAAGTCATCTCCAAGAGGGCGTGTTCGTCATCACTTTTGAGCTGACCCCTGAAAGTCAACAGCGCGGTGACCAGGTGAACTGACGCCGCCGGGGGTGGAAGGCTGCCCCTCGGGCACCAGCGTCGCACCTGACACCGGCGCTGAGGGGGCGGTGGTCGCGCCGGCTCGGGGCCTGGGCTAACGAGAGGCTTGTGAGCACACGCTGCCCCTAACTCTGGTTCTGACGACGTGGGCGTTGATGCTCCGTTGTCAGAGCTCATTCTTGCAGGTGACCAGCGACGGTTCTTACAGAACCCTCCTCTTTCTGTACAGAGAGCCAGCGTCTACTTTGGAAATTTAGCAAAATGCGTATGGTAAAAAATAAATATATTTTGAAAACGTTTTTAAAGAAGTCACATGTCCCTGAAAGGTTTGAGAGCCACGTGGAGCAAGCGCACCCTGTCCTGCCTCATCCTCGGCCGCTCAGCCCCTCAGCCTCTGCGCCCAGCGCCCGCCGGAGAGGCAGGGCCTCGAGTGCAGCCCAGGCCTGAGGCCTGGCTGTGGCCTCCTCTTGTGCAGGCTGTTTGCGACATTGTCCGCCCTGTGTGGTAGGGACACAGGGCAGGGACAGGCCATCTTATGGTTGATAAGATGCTTGGTCTTCTTCCCAGTTCCTGCCCTCGCTCTGTAAACAGCCTAGAATTTCCTCAGTGTTGTGAGTGTCTTTTGTCATGTTAACGAGGCAGCCCTAGGAAGGGTGGGATCTGGTTGCCAGGAGAACTGACCTAGTGGTTAGAGGATTGGAAAGCTCTGTCCCACCCTGACCTCCCAGGAGGGGAGAGGGCCTGGAGGTTGAATCAATCACCAGTGGCCATTTCCTTAGCCAGTCATGATTCTGTAACGCAACCGCCATGAAAACCCTGGAGGAAGCTGGTCTGTCCTTCGGAGAGCTTGCGGGCGCGTGAACACGTGGATCCAGGGAGGGCGGGGCCTGGAGAGGGCATGAGAGCCCCACCCCCTCCCCGCACCTGTGCATCTTCCACCTGGCTGTCCTGAGCTACAGCTCCATGTTCCCCGGCGCCATGCTTCTATGAGGCTAGTGGACAGCGAGGGCCGAGCCCCTCCATGGCGGGGTGTGGAGGCCCGGACCCCTTGTCAGGGAGCACCTTGCGATGCATCCTTGCCAGTGGATAGAGACACCAGTGTTGGTCGTCCCAAAGTGACCCACAGCACCGCATAAGTAACGATTTGTCAGGCAGTGATGGGCACCGTGTATGACAGTCCGTGAGATTGTGATGGAGCTGAAAACGTCCTACCGCCAGCGACGTCACGGCGGCGTACTGTCACGGCACCACGCATTGCTCACGTGTGAACGAGCCGCCAGCCCTACGAGGACAGCACGTAGTTCCGTGCAGTACGTGACACTTGATGAAGAACGACCATTACTGGTTTATAGTCTCGCCGCGCTACATTTTTTACCGTTTAGAATGGACTCTGCATGTTGGCCGCAGCAGCCTCATCCAGCTCGTGTGTGCCGTGTCCCTCGACGGCGTCGCTTTCTCCTGTGCTTGGTTCGATCTCATTTTCTACAGAAACGTGCTGTACAGGTTCGGAGCCCAGGAGCAGGAGCCTGTCCCCGACCGCCCGGGTGTGGGGGAGGCTGTGCCGTCCGGGTTTGATGGTCACACACGACGAAATCCCCTAACGACACATTTCTCGGTTGTGTTCCTGTCCCTAAGCAGCGCGTGATGGTGCAGGTGCCTGAGCAATGTGGGGTGCCTATAGGTGCACCCCGAAAGCACCCCGATGACCCTTCCACCAGCCTCAGGCTCCGTGAGTCACAGAACTCAGGACTCAGAAAGCCGGAACTCTCGTGGTACGATGTATCACAGGGAAGGGACACAGATCACATCAGAGAAGGCACATGGGCAAGGCCAGGAGGAGCCTGGCACCAGCTTGGTGTCTCCAGGGAGTCAGGGAGGCGGGCGCTTGTGGGACAACACTGCCAAGTGTTGCCAGCCAGGGACACCCGCCTTGCCTTGGGTCAGGGTGTTCCTGAGCTCAGACGCATCTGCCTGGAGCGCCCCTGTGAGGCCCTTGGCAACTGGGACTGCAGCCCCACCCCCAGGTGACAGGTAAGGGGCCCAAGGCCTCACACAAACCCTCCCCAGGAGTCAGGGGCAGTCTGCAGACTTTCTTTTTTTATTTTTTACGCCTACAGCACCTGGTCTTCCTAGGTGGTCTCCCATCCAAATACTAACCAGGCCCGACCCTGCTTAGCTTCCAAGGTCAGACGGGATCCGGCTTGCGCAGGGTGGCGTGGCCGTACACAGACAGGCTTTCTTAAGTGGATGGGGACAGGAGAGTTAAGTCAGGCCCCTCCCTAAATTCCTTCTGGGCTTCCCAGAGCTTTGGGCATGAAACCCACCCCTCTGCTGGCTCACGCCCTTCCATAGTGGCCCTCCCTGGACTAAGGGACTAACCTCATCTTGTCCTCAGGGCTCCCTCCTCACTCCTCCCTCCACCCGGCACCCTCCGCTCCCTCCCAGCTCCCCGCCGAGGCTGCCCCTGCGGCTGCCCTCCCGGAGGCAGCGTCTGGGGGCCCCAGCACTGCAGTCCGCCCACTAGCAGCAGGCCGAGGTCCTCCTAGGGTCACCCACTAGGCTTTTCCCTTCAAATCACGTTCCAGACACCAGGGCCTTGCGACAGTAGGTGGCCTCGTGCCTCGATCTCCCAGGAGTTTCTCTACTCCCAGCTCCGACATCTTCCCTCTTTTGCTGAGAATGGACAGACCACACACCTGTATTTTGCAAAGAGGTTCAGGCACCTACTCTAATCCGGGGCCCTGGGGGTTTGGGTGACATAACTCCCGATGGCGACCTCTCCTGGTCTGTAACCATCGCCCGGCACCTGAGGCCGAGGGCCCAGATGCGAGCAAAGAAGCCGACGGAAAGTTGACTGAGAGCCTAGCGCTGCTCCAGGGCGCTGTGCGGAGCCTCGGTGGGAGTTCCGGTCCCACCTGCGGCAGAGAGTGCCGGGCAGGGCGGGGAGGAGCCGCCCAGTGCCAAAGCCCTCACGGCTCCGGAGCCCAGCGATGGGAGTGGCACCGGAACCCGTGGTAGGGGCCAGTAGCCCTGCGCGCCCAGCGTCAAGGCAGGTGGCAGTAACTCTGCTGCTGCGTTGGAGGGAGCCCCTTGTAACGACTCTACTGACTGCTGTCAAGAAAGCTCATCGTGCTGTACCAGTGGCACATCTGGGACTGGAGAACGGAGCAGCCGTGCCCCAAACCCACAGTGACTGAGCGGGAGGGGCCTTGGTGGCTGTCCGGCCCGGCCCCTCTTCCACAGACGGGTCTGCTGGGCTGAGTGCGGCCTGTGCGCGTGCTCCCCGATCAGACGGGCAAACGCCATGTGCTACAGTGAGGCCGCCAGCACGCCACTCACACCTGGCCCGCTCCCAGGTATTTCACACTTCAGTGACGAGAACGGAGCGATGTGTGTCGGCTTTGAAAAAACCGTTGACCCCTTGATCCTTATTTTCATCATTTGCAATGAGTGCAGACTCTCGATATCTATAAAAAGTCTTTATTGCTTTTTCTGATTATATAATGTGAAAATTCAAATGTTACAAAACATAAAAAGTCAATTTTTAAAATTATGAAATGTGCATTTCAAACTCTTCAAGTATAGTGGTTCCTCGGTGTTCTCGGGGGTTTGGTTCCAGGATCGCCCCCCCCCCGCCCCCCACCAAACCAAAATCCAAGGGTGCCCAAGTCCCAGGGAGGAAATGGCCAGGAGCAGCGCATGCAGCCAGCTCGCCACACCCATTACCAGCCGTGGGTGTGAAACCCGGGAGCGAGGCCGGCTGTGTTATAAAATGCAGGATCTGGAAAACCGGTCCTCTGCAATCCAGGCACACCCCACCCTGTCCCCAGGATCACTGCTGTTCACGGGTGCGTGTCTCCTAACGTGTGTGGCACATTCGTAAAGGGTCATACTCTGCAGAGTTAAGCCACTTGTGCATTTAACAGACAGCTTCCCATTCCATACATAAATGCTTAAAACTGGTACACGGGTTTGCACTGCGTAGATGTATTAGGTCAACTTATGAAATGAATGATATCTGACCATTTTTGGCCTACAAAACCAGCAATTTCATAGGGTTCAACATGATGCCACCGTCCGCCCCTCTTCGTGGAGGGTTCCCCCTTTTCACCATTATAAACAGTAGAGCAGCGAGTATCCTTGTGTGTTCTTTATGGAGTGTAAACATTTTACCCCAAATGGGTCACAGCCCTTTTCAGAGCATTTAGAAGAATCTAGAGGGTGGAGCCTCCCACCTGCCTGGGGACCCAGCGGGGAGGCACAGACACACACCCTTCCCTCGAATGAGTGGCCAGCTTTGGTCACTACGCTGGTCAGCACGGAGGCTGTGCTACAGGAGCATAGCAAACAGGTCCACTCGGGGGACACGCGGGCCCTGATCTCTGCCGACCGGACGCCATGACCCCCGACGTCCTGGCCGTGCTCCGAACTTGTCCTCCGCCGTGGTCTCGCGGGTGTAGAAAACAGATTCAGAAATGTACTGAAATCAGAAACTCGTAGGAAGATTCTTATTAAGTTTTTTTCAGGAACAACTGGAGTGAAAAAAAATTTAAAAAAATAAAAAAATAGCACCTGTTAAAACCCTGCACGTCGCCAGGCGTGGCACAGGGCGGGGAACGCGCGCCGGTCACGGGCGCTTGCGGGTGGCCCGCTTCCCCCTCGGCTTCGTCGGGCGCTTGTAGATTCTGCTCGGGTCACAGCTGAGTCTGTGGGTGGTCTTCTTGTGGCAGGCAATGTGAACTAACTTTAGATTCTCTGAGGTAAAAAGCAGGCTGTAAAAATACTCCCAGTCTATTTCTCTTCCACTTCGATCTTCAATCGCTTCGGCCAGTGTGGGGACAATGGTGCGTTTCTTTTCTATTCTGCAAAGTGAGAGACGGTCATTTTCTGTTGTCAGACCCCGCAGGCACGTGCCCTTAAACCACAGACGCAGTTAAAGTACAGTTTCCGCTCAGCTGTAGCTAAAACATTAAGCAGCGTTTGGCTGCCTACGGGAAAAGACAAGTGGAAAATCGTTACGATTTCCAAAGGCACCGCACGGGGCAGCTCCCCAGAAGGAACAGGGTGGCGACAACGTGGAAAGGACCCACCGAGCCGTCAGCAGGACGAGCACGGGGGAGGGGCGTCCCCTCGCAAACTCATCAGAGCACCGTCCCTGAGCACGGCCGCGGCTGCTGGGTCAGCTCTGCCCGGCGATGCCCGATGCGAGCAACTTCGCCAGCCTCGCTTTTAAAGTTTGGTACTTTTTTTAAATACTGAAAAGTACGTGGGAAAAAATGGGAGTCAGTCCAATTCCCGTCACAATTACTCACCGAAAACCACGTGGCTCACTTTGATCTCCGTGTCGATTACCAGAAAAGTGACGCGATAATACACGAACACGTTCGAAACAGAACCTTACAAATAAAGCTGAAGTCGCCACGCCACCACCTCGAACCCCATTTCCTCTGTCCCTCCCCAGGCGTGGTCGCTGCTAGGAGCTGGGCGCCTGCCTCTCCCATCCTGATCTTGTGCTGCACACGCACGCACGTGTCCACGTGAAGGAGTTACGGTACCGCTGTGTGGAACCCTGTTTCCACTACGAAGTGTGAAGACCATGCACTAACACGTGCAGGAGCTCGTGGACTGACTCGCTGAATGAGAGATGTCACGGCGGGGAGGGCTGGTGGCAACGTGGGGGACCAAGCTGGCACAGACTCTTCTCCCCGACAGCACAGCGAAATACTGAGTGAAAGGACCTTTCTTTAAAAAAATACGTGGTTGAGATCAAAAGAAAGGAGGGAAGCTCCCCAGCTGCCAGAAACAGAAATCGCCACTTGATCCACATGGGGAAGTGACACGCCAGTGGCTCCCCAGGTCCTGATAGAGGCCCGAGGGGGAGGTGAGCCCGAGACCCCCTCACTGGCCATTACGTGAGGAAGAGCAGCTGCAGGGCAGTCCAGGGCTTTGGGGGGGAAGGAAAAGCCACTGTGCGAATTACCTATTGCTGCACAGCGCCCCCCAAAACTCGGTGTTTCCCGTGCGTGGCGCTGTGCGCTGCTGGAGGGTTTGAGGGGGCTGACCCTTCTCCCATGGTGCCTTGCATCCTCCAAGAGGCCAGCTCAGGCCTCCTGGAGTGGCGACGGCCATGTTCAGAGAGGAAAAGGTGCAGCCTGCAAGGATTTCCCTCTGCTGGTGTCCTGTCTGCTGGAGTCCCACAGTCAAGCCAGACTCGGCACTGGAGGATGGGGACACAAGGTGAGGACACCCAGACAGGGTGCCGTTGGTGTAACTGTCTTCCACGGTCACCCGGAAAACCGGGACCCTTGGCCTACCTCCCAGGCAGGCACACGGCGCCACCTTACACTGCCACACGTGGGCTGGGACCCACAAGCAAGAAACTCACATGCAGTTGTTTCAGACAGAACCTCTGAAAACCCGGGCGTCTGGCAGAACCAAATGCAAAACCGCTCTGCAAGGACAGTTTAGCAGGCAAGCCAGGGCGCCGAGGACGGGGACAGAAAACACCCCCCACCGAGGATGAGCTCGGAATCCGGACGGACAGACGGCGTGAGGAGCCGCGCTGTGGCAGGCAGGGGCTGCGGCCAAGGTCAGTGCCCCGGGCCCACCCACGCCAGGACACTGAGATGCACCACTGAAAGCCAGGGAGCTGTCCCCGGGGCCACCCTCACTCGTCCTGCGAGCGGCAGGGCTTAGGCATCGGGCACACGAGCCGCAGCACAGCGGTTCCCCTGGGGACGGACGCAGACGGGGTGGAGAGGGAGCCGGCCTGTGACCAGGCTGTCAGGCAGCGAGCCGTTTCGAGGGCATTTATCGCTGTCATTCACGTAAAACGGGCGAGGACGTAATTATAGTCAGAGAAAGGCTCAGTGAAAGTAATGAACCGTTCCGTTCCTGTCCCCGTCAGAAGGAGCTGGTGTAGACGTGAAAACAAGACGTCTGCATGACCCCATCCACAGATGGGAGCGAGAGCTGAGAGAGGGGACGCGCGTAAGGTCATAGACGCGGACAGGATCTGGCCAGCTCCCGTCGGGGCCCACGGCGCTGAGTGACGCCCAGTCATGTGGGCCAGGAGCAGGAGCACAGCGCTCTGGGCAGCCCCTTCCGCACCGGCGCCGGCGACGCCTTTGGGTCCATGACCCACGAGCCCGGCACGGCAGGCGCAAGCCCCGGGCGCCAGGCAGGGCGGGGCGCACGTCCCCAGGCCGGCACTCACACGTGGTCCAGGTTCCAGGTGCTGAAGAGGACGCGGCTCTCCCGGTTCCCGTAGGGGTTGATGGAGTGTTTGGAGACACAGTCATCCATGTCGAAAGGACCCTGGGCCGAAAGATGACAGGAGAGGCCATGAGGTGAACCTCTTACCTGACGGCCTCGTAGCAAGACGTGCCACTTCAGCCGCCCTCTACAGCTCGGCAGGCCTGGGGACTCGCCAAAGCCCCGGTACCATCGGCACCCAAGGCTGGACCACACCGGACAAAGTGAAGGCTGGGAAAGAGGCGAGGGCGGTGGCCATCCTCACGGAGGCCAGTGGCTCCGGGCCCCCAGGCCCATGGGCCCCGGCCCCAGAGGTGGTGGCGCCTGTGGGGAGTGCTGCCCCTGTGACTTGATCAGGCGTCCCAGAGGAGCCCGCGGCATCCGCCTGCAAAGCTCAGAACGCTGCTTCCGGCCACTGCCACCCACCAGGGAGTCGAGCTTAGCTGGTACCTGAAGTGTCGCATCCAGACACAAACCCCACAGTCCCTGCGGTCATCTAGAAAGCTTGCCCAGGGGAACAGAATGCTTTTCTGAGACGCCTGAGCGGTCCTCTTATCAATCCACCCAGGGGAACGTCACCCTCCTCTGACACCAAGGTCAGATCTCTGAAGCGTCCCCCCACCCCCATCGGCAGCAATGTCCCCGGCCAGCAACAGGAGTGTCATCTGGGAACTCGTCAGAGACGCAGGTTCTCAGACCCGTCCGGACTGCTGGACAGAAGCCCTGGGTGGGCCCAGCAGCCTTCCGACAGCCCTCAGAGGACTCGCTGCCACTGGCCGGCCGGCCTGCCCTCTCTGTGAGTGGGAGCCGACGCCCGGAGGCCACCCGCCCTCACGAAGCCTCGCCCGGCAGGCCGAGGGCAGGGTGTGCTCCCCGCCCCCATGGGAAGGCAGGCTCGGTGGGCACCCGGCTGGCTCAGGGTGAAAGGCGCGCAGCTCACCTGGCAGGAGAACCAGCCCTCCGGCGTGCAGAGCCGGCCGCCCGCCCTCGCGCCCCTGTCGAAGTAGCCGCCGTTGTACTGTGCAGCTCTGAGCTTCTGGCCCATGGCGTCCACGACCCGCACGTACTCCTCCCGGGCCTCTGCGCCCACCGCGGGGGCGTGACAGCTCACCTTGGGGACACCAAAGACGGGGCTGAACGTCGGTGCATGACGCCCTAAACCGCAGTCGGGCTCCCAGGCCGATGAGGCCACGGCCCTCAGGGATCGGGGTCCCGGCAAAGCCCTGTGCCTGGGGACTCTGGGTTTGCAGGCCGTGGCCGTCCAACCCTGGGGAGTGTCTCTGGGCCCATGAGATGCAGCGTGGGTCACAGTCCGGCAGGTAACGGATTTGAGCCCCGGGCACCTGCCCCACGCCGCACCCCGCCTCCCCCGCCCCCATGTGCCCCTGGCGCTGGCCACTGCTGTCCAGGAGAGGACAGGACCTGGGTAGGCGAGGAAGCAGCACCACATCGCGCCACCCACCCACCTCCCCTGCTGCCCACTCGAGCGTGGGGGACACGCGCACCCATGGGTGCGCCCAGGCCGCGCTGAGTGACCGGGCAAAGGTGAGAGACGCCGTCCGTCCCTGAGTGGCCCAGGTCCAGTGGGAGCGACAGGGCTGCGCAGGGCGCCACAGTGCAGAGGGCTGGTGCCCAGCAGCTGCGGGAGTTGTCCTGGAGGGGGCGGGGCTTACTCAGGACAGGTCGCATCCCTGGCGAACCACCCGACAGGTGACATGGGGACTGTCAGTTCCGCTCCAACCCGACAATTGTGGGGGAATTGCACACGCAAAAGAACCGGACAAAAGCTGCTCGCTGTAGGCACTGGCCACACCAAAGGGTGGCAGTGGGCTGGACCCCAGCACCCCGTTCTGTGGGGCTACCGTGCCTGCGAAGCGCCGGAAGCTCAGCCTGCAGCACGCGCTCCGGGGTGGCGCTCCAGTCCCCGAGCCGAGCCGGCTGCCTGAACCTGCCCGCGTGCCTGCTGCAGCATGGCCTACCTCCCGCAGGTAGCTCCGGATCCGGCTCTCGCAGCTGTATCTCAGGTAGCCGGACTTGCTCCTAAACCGGGACTCCAGACCTGGCAGGAGAAGACAAGACGCTTGCAGCCCGGCCAGCGGGGCCAGGGCGTGGGGACCGAGGAAGGTTCTGGCAGCGCCGTGCCCACCGCCGCTGGTTCTGGCCTGTCCGATGGGACTCTGTGGTCCACCAGTGTGGAGGGGCTCACACGCCACCCGGGGGCTTCTGCCTGGTAGCAGCTCAAGCCGCGTCTTCTAAGAGGGCTGCAGTCTCTTAGGGCTGCCTCTAACTGGCTACACAGGCCAGTCTGAAGGCAGAAGCCACCCCAGTGTCCCTCGACGGATGAGCACATAAAATGTGGTCCATCCACACAGCGGAATATCGTTCAGCCTTAAAAAGGAAGCACAGTCTGACACCCACTGCAACGTGGACGGACCTCGAGAACGTGACGCTCAGTGACACAGGCCAGTCACAGAAAGACCAATGCTGAGATTCTACTTCCAGGAGGTCCCCGGAGGAGTCAGATCCACAGAGACAGAGGTGGGAGGGCGGGTGCCGGGGGCTGGCGGAGGGGCTGGGGAGTGAGTGCTTCACAGGGACAGAGCTGCAGTTTGGAAAGATGGAGACGGTGGTGGTGACGGCTGCACGACAGTGTGACGTAGTGAATGCCACCAAGCCGCGTGCCAGCGACGGTCAGGATGGGAACTGTATGTGACATGCTCTGCCACCCAGCTAGGTGGCTCAGAGTGCTAGGCAAGCCCCTCATCTGGGGAGCCCTCATCCGGTAACTGAAGTAGAATCCGGTCTCCCCCAGGTGTCTGGCTCTGAGAAGGCCCCCACCCCGGCTCCCTCAAGCCCCGAATCCGCAAGGCACCTTCGAACCAAGGCGGGTCCTCGGCCCTGGTCTCGGCGCTGCTGTTCTCGCTGACCGTGTGCAGCAGGTCGGCCAGGAGCTTCTGCCTCAGTGGGGCCCGCTCGTCCGAGAGCAGCTGCCGGGCCGCCTGGATGAGCCCCGCATGCGGCTTGTGGAACACGCTGAGGAAGCTGCTGATGTCACTCACATCTGCCACCAGAAGCGGGACAAACAGAAAAGCCGTCAGTCCTTGGAGCACCGCCCGGGGAAGACAGGTGATGCGGGGACAGCTGGCGGCAGGTGACGAGGGCTCCATGTCTACCCCGCCTCCCTCGGGGACCTGCCAAACCTCAGCGCTGTCCCCACACCAACGAGCCCGGTCCCCTGGGCCTTGAGCGGGGCAGGGGGAAGGACAGACTGGAAAGGCAGGGGACGTGCTTCGGGAAACAGAAGCGCCCCACGCAGACGGCCGCCTTCCTCCTGGGTCTCCTCTCCTTCCGCATCGCCAGGTGTCTGGACCCCCGTGAGCCCACACTCTCAGGAGCCTCAGTCTCTTTACCGCCACCTCCTGGAGCCTTTCCACACACGCACGGAAGCGCCAAGCCCCCGAGCAAGCACTCAGGACCAAGTGTGGCCGTCACTCAGGCCTTGCAGCTTCGCACACGCGGAATCAGCGCGCCCCGAGCACTGTGGCCCACGGGGCCGGCCCGGGGACCCTGGGCCGCTGTGTGCAGACATCAACACAACCCGCCCTACAGGACCGCAGCAACTGACGCTCACAGGTGGACACCCTCAGGCCCCTGGTGAAAAGTTCTCAGACTTATGGCCAAAAGCACAGCATGAAAGAAAAAAAAGGACAAACTGGCCTTCTTCAAAATTAAAAACTGGTGCTTCACGAAAGACCTTCTCTCTCGATGAGAATAAGAGCTACAGAGTAGGAGAAAATACTTACAAACGAGTCTGGCCAAAGACTCGCATGCAGAACATATTAACAAGAAAACCATCAAACCTCAACATTAAAAAAATAATTAGAAAACGGACAAAAAACAAGAGGAGACATTTCACCACAGAGGATACAGTCCTGCGCTGAATAACGACACTGTGGTCAGTGACAGACACGCCCAGCGCGACGGTGTCCCCCAGGGCCCGAGTGCACGCGGCGATGTCTGCAGGATGACACGGCCTAACGATGCACTTCTCAGGCTGCATCCGCCTCGTTAAGTGGCGTGTGACTGTATACAGATGGCAAATGATCCCATGAAAAGGTCAACACCCTTAGCCTACAGGGAAATGCACATTAAGACATAAGGAGACTCCACTGCCGCGCGACCATCAGGGTCGCTACAATGAAGACAGAGCGCGGACAGAGCTGGAAGGGCTCCGAGACGCCCCGCCCCTCGCGTGGTGCTGGGGCCATTTCTTTGCTTCTTTTATGTAACAACTGTATCGAGATTTAATTTCCATTCATTACAATCCACCCAGATACAACGTACAACTCAGTGGGTCTTAGTTCCTCAGAGCTGTGTAACCGCCTCCACATTCAATGTTAGACCATTTTCATCGCCTCCAAAAGCAACCCTGTCCCACCTACCCCCCAACCCCACCCAGCCCTAAAACTAGCACTGGCCTACGCTCCGTCTCTACACACCTCCCTGTGCTGGACTTTTCATACGGTGCAATCCTACGTGGCCTTTTGTGACTGGCTCCCTTCACTGAAGTGACATTTTACGGGTCACTCATGCTGTAATGGGTGTCAGGACTTCACTCCCGGTCATGGTCAAGGTCCAATAACATCGCTGGGTTTGGACACGCTTTGCTTTGTTTACCCATTTGTTCATCGATGGACATCTGGGCGGTTTCCACTTTTTGGCCCTTAGGAATCAAGCTGCTGTGAGCATTCACCTAGAAGCTACTGTGTGCATGTGTCCACTTCTCTTGGGTACATATATGTGTGCCTAAGGGCTGCTGGGTCGCCTGGTGGTTGTTTCATAGTCATAGGAACCACAGACTGTCCCCATAGCGGCCGCACCATCTTACACCCCACCGGCGACGCACGAGGGCCTTGCTCCCCACAGCCCTCCAGCTTCCCCGCCACCCTCCAAGGTCCCTGCCACTTACAGCCCTGCCAGCTCTGGCCCTTGGTGAGCAGCACAAGCTCCGTGTTGTCAGGGACGCTCCAGAAGTAATCTCCAGTCAGCTCCGTGCCATCTTCGTAGAGGCACAGGCGGGAGCCAGGAACAGGCAGCTGGGGACAAGGGAGAGGAGCAAGCAGGGCAGGATGCTTACTTATTGCGCGTCAGGCGGGCCCACCCTTGTAGCGACATCAGCTCTTCCCACCTGCAGCCCACACAGAGAAGGAGAACAAACTATAGTTTAAAGCACGGGTCCCCAACTTTCCGGCCGCAGACCAGTACTGGTCTGGTCCGTGGCCTGTTAGGAACCAGACCGCACGGCAGGAGGTGAGCGAGCGAAGCTTCATCTGTATGTGCCGCCGCTCCCTGGCGCTAGCATCACCGCCTCAGCTTCCACCTCACATCCTCAGGCGTGAGAGTCTCATAAGGGCACCGGTCCCTGGTGCCACAAAGGTCGGGGACGGGACCGCTAGTTGAAAGAATCACGCTCGAGATGCTGTCCGTGCACTAAAGCAGGGCAAACACCTGACACAGCACAGGTGTCCACAGAATCGGTGCGTAGGAACGTGGACACCTGCTGCAGGTCGTTCTAAAATGCGAAAAGCACACAAATGGACACGCAGCGGTCACTGCTCTGGGGGTGCGCCGCACAGACCCTTTCAAAAGGGGCCCTTCAAGAGCACTCCACATCCAAGCCTGTTTCCAGAAATGACACCCCTGCTACCGCTAGGCCTGTGAATGCGCCTCCTGACAGGTGTCAGGACACACCCGCTATCTGCACCCCTGGCTCCTCCACACTGATCAGCAAGAACACCTTACAGAGCATGACTCACTGCCTGTCCGCGGAAGGGAGGCCGGCACTCAGACCGTCCTGGCGTGGCTCTCTTGCTCGGCACTGGTGTTTTATAAATTTTTATGGCAGCTCCACCCCCTCCCCATGCAACATGGTACACACCCCGCAGGCCCAAGCCCCTGCAAGGGAACAAACAAATACAGTAATGGCTGAAATCCCACCACAGTAATGGCTGAAGGGGCACCTCACGCTCCGGCCAGGCCTTTAGAGGCCCCTGAGCCCAGCCCCTTCATTTTACACAGGGGAACTGAGTCTCAGCAGGCCACCAGCTGTGTCCTAACATGCAGCGAGTCTGGGTCCCTGCATCGCAAGCCAGAGCAGTGTGATCCTCGGGGTCAGAAGAGAGACAATATTGTCCCTAAATCCCCCACAAACGCTGTGCTCTCAACTGGGCAAGAAGTCCCCGACTCAAGGGGTCTCAAGAGAGACTAATGGCGATGAAATGGCGAGTCCCAGCAGCCCTTCCGCCACCTCGCACAGCCCCCTGGTTTTGAAGCTGAAAAGCAGCACCTCTCATCCTCCTAAGTTTCTCCCAAGCGGGCGAGCACTGAGCACGGGGCAGAAGCTTCCCCGACGCCACGTGCTGAGACGTGGCGCCTCCGCTGAGCAGCGGGAGGCCGGGAAGTCCGAGGGTTCACATTCCGCCCGCTCTGCAGCACCCCGTGCGCCCTCCGAGGCTGCGGTCGGGCCATGTCTGTGGAATGAGGGCGTTCGCACCCCATGCACAGGGTTTAGCCGCGGACCGACCCCCTGACAGCCCACGACAGAGACGCCACGGTGCCGGCCAGGGGCATCCCCCGTGGTCCCGCTCGGGTTCTCCGCCTCGGGGGAGATGTGGACAGTCCCCGCCTCACGGGGCATCCGTCAGAACTCGGGGACACACTGAGCTCCCAGTGCTGACGGTGAAAGACGACGGGTCGGCACTGTCGCAGGCCACCCGGAGCCTCCGGGCAAGCTCGCCCCCCGGGGCCCGCAAGTGGAGGCACAGCGCCCCCGGCCCGGCCCCCGGCCCCCGGCCCTGGCGGCACCTGCAAGAGGAGGCACCCCTTCCGCAGCACCTCCTGGCAGCTCCTCCCCGCCACCCCAAACTTCTTCTGGCTGTGCAGGGCGCGCAGCTTGAACGTCTTGGGCCTCCGGGACACCGCAGACATCCTCAGGGCCTTCGGCGCCTCCGGCCGCACCTGCTTGGCGGGCCGCTCAGGCGCGTCCTCACCCCGGCTGCGGGGACCGGCTCCGGCGGGACCAGGC